TCTTTATATGATCTCTGACAACCAAATACTTTATGTCAATATGTTTGCTTTGACTTCCACTTTTGTTATTTCTTAAAAAGAAAATTGCAGTCGGATTGTCGCAATAAATTTTCAAAGACTTCTCTATATTATCGACAACTCTTAAGTTTTTGACAAAATTTCTCAACCATAATGCCCGTGTCGTAGCTTCATAGTAACCAATGAATTCTACTTCCATGGTAGACGATGCAATTATAGTCTGCTTGTTGCTTTCCCAAGATACAGCTCCTCCAGTTAGAAGAAAAATGTATCCTGATGTAGACTTTCTCGTGTCTACACATCCAGCAAAATCTGAATTCGTATATCCAACAACTTCAAGATTGTCAGAATGTTTGTATGCGAGTCTGTAGTTTTTGGTTCCTTGTAGATACCTCATCACTTTCTTGGCAGCTTTCTAATGTTCTATTCCCGGATTACTTTGATATCTGCCGAGTACACTAACTGCAAATACAATCTCGGGTTTAGTACAGACTTGTACAGACATCAAACTGCAGACAGCGGAAGCATAGGGTATAGAAGCCATATGCTCTCTTTCCAATTCATTTAGTGCACATTGATTCTGATTGAATTTATCACCTTTAACAATGGGTGCTACACTTGATGCACAATTCTTCATCCTGAATCTTTCCAAAATCTTTTCAATGTAGACCTTTTGAGACAATCCTAATGACCTTTTAGATCTGTCTTTATGAATCTCTATGCCAATGACATAAGAGGCTTCACCCATATCCTTCATTTCAAAGTTTTGGCTAAGAAATTGTTTTGTGTCATGTAGCATTCCCAAATCACTGCTTGCAAGTAAAATATCATCTACATATAGGACTAGAAATATGTATTTGCTCCCACTGATTTTAAGATATATGCATTGGTCAATGATATTTTCTGTAAAACCATATGAAGTAACAATATTGTGAAACTTCAAATACCATTGACGGAAAGCTTGTTTTAGCCCATATATAGATTACCTTAATTTGCAAACCATGTGATTACCTTTATCACTGGCAAATCCTTTAGACTGTTTCATGTGTACTTCTTTTTCAAGATCCCGATTCAAAAATGTTGTTTTCACATCCATCTGATGTAGCTCCAAATCAAAATGAGCTACTAAAGCCTTTATAATTCTAAATGAATCTTTCTTAGGTAATCGATGCCTTCCTTTTGAGTGAAACCTTTAGCTACAAGCCTGGCCTTGTATCGTTCTATTGTCCCAGATGCATTCCTTTTGGTCTTGTAAATCCATTTACAAACCAGCGACTGTATGTCCATCTGGCAATTCAACGAGATCCCAAACTTGATTTTTAGCTATAGATTACATCTTAAACTCAAATTTTTCCCCTCAATAGCTTGTGAAAATGAGCTAGGATCATTGTCAAGTTCAACAAATGTATCGGACTCTTGAAGATATACAACATAATCACTAGAAATTGTAGGTTTCCTTATTCTCGAGGATCTCCTTATACCTATTATCTCATCTTGATTTTGTATATTTTGAGTAGTAATAGGTTCAACATCAAGTGGGGATTCTCGTTCTACGTTTTTCTCATGTAGTAACACTTGTTCTTAAGTTGGTTCATTTCGAGTTGTACTTGAATTCTTTCTTTCGAAAGGAATCAATATACCCGAATTGGAAGATGACCCAACAGAATCGTTCGTTTCCTGAAAATCAATATTTCTAGGAAACTCACTCCCACTCACTTCATGATCCTTTAGAAATTTCGCATTTCTAGCTTCAACAATTCTTAGAGTGTGCGTGGGACAATAGAATCTATAGCCTTTGGAGTTTACTGGATAGCCTATAAAAAAATCCACTAACTGTCCTCGGGTCCAATTTCTTTATGTGAGGATTGTAAATCCTTACTTCAACTGGACAACCCTAGATATGTATATGTCTCAAACTAGGTTTCCATCAATTCCAAATTTCAAATGGTGTTTTAGGAACTGCCTTAGATGGAACTCTATTCAAGATATTCACGACAGTTTTTAGGGCTTCACTCCACACATTCAGAGATAGGCTTGAATTTCTCATCATGCTCCTAACCATGTCCATTAAGGTCCTATTTCTTCTTTCAGCTACACCGTTTTGTTGTGATGTGCCTGGCATCGTATATTGTGCTAAGATACCTTGTTCTGCTAAAAACTTAGCAAATGGTCCTGACATTCGTCCCTTTTCTGTGTACCGTCCATAAAATTCTCCACCCTTATCTAACCTTATAATTTTGATTTTTCTTTCCTTTTGTTTCTCTACTTCAGCTTTATAACTCTAGAAAGCATCTAATATATCATCCTTATGATTTAGAAGATAGAGATACATATATCTTGAATGATCATCTATAAATGAGATAAAATATCTCTGACCATTTAGACAAGGAGTAGGAAAAGGTCCACAATATCTGTGTGAATAATCTCAAGAATGTCTGAACTCCTTTTGGCACCTTTAGTGGTCTTGTTTGTTTGCTTTCCCTTTATGCATTCAATACAAGTCCCAAAATCAGTAAAGTCAAGAGTTGGTAAAACTCTATCATTCACTAATCTTTTAAGTCTCTCTATGGAGATATGTCTCAATCTCCTGTGCCATCACTTAGAGGAGTTTTCTTTAACAATACAACACTTATTGCCAATACCATCATCATACAGTTTAGATAAGTTACACTCATAAGTGGGATCTAAAAAAAATTTATATAAATTATCAACCAAAATACCATGTCCAACAATAACTGAATTTTGAAATAAGCCAAAGCTTCTGTTTTCAAATACAAACTTGAAATTCAAAGGTGCTAATCTTGAAATAGAAACTAAATTACGAGAAAAGCTTGGAATATAAAAAGTGTCTTTAAGATCCAAATGAAAACCATAATTTAAAACTAATCGAATGATTCCAACACCTTCAACAGTTGAACTCAACTGGTTTCCAAAATAGACTCTTTGTTCACTTGATTGTGGCTTCCTTAGGTCCAGAAAGCCCTGTATAGTATTGACAATGTGAATTGTAGTACCTAAATCAATCCACCATGTATTGTCTGGAACATTAACCAAAAGAGATTCATGACACACTAGAGAGATAAGAATACTTTTATTTTCAAGCCATTTTTTATATTTGAAACAATCCTTCTTCATATGCTCTTTTTGTTAAAGAAACAAGCATATTTATTGCCCTTTTATTTCATCGGCATTTTGTTCTTCATTTTAGGACCACATTTACCCTTGTTCTCATTTCCCTTATCATGAGATGTCAGATGAACAGTTTTTCAACTTTTCATGCTTTAGCCTCTCTTCCTCTTGAACACACATTGTTAGGAGTTCATTCACAGTCAATTTTTCCTTATGTGTGTTATACAATATTTTAAATGGACCATACTTCGAAGGAAGAGAGTTCAAAATGAGAAGAAATCTCTATCTCCAGGGATTTAAGATAAGTAGTAATATCTCTCATTTCCATTATGTGCTCACGCACACCTTTAGAATTGTCAAACTTTATGCCTAAAAGCCTTTTCGTTAAAGTGTTGGCCAACATTTTGTCAGAACTTACAAATTACTCTTCAATGGCCTTTATGAAGTCCTTGGCCTTATCACATTGAGGGATCGATCCCCTGATGCTTTTATTGACATGAGTCTTCATGAGACTCACGCTCAAATGGTTGGATCTTTCCCATGATTCATATAGTGACCTCTCTTCTGGCGTACTTGATTCTGTAGGGACAAGTGGTTCATCCACACGAAGCGCCAAGTCGAGATCCATACATCCTAAAGTAACGAGAATTTTCTCCTTCCAATCAGAAAAGTTATCACCTCATAGAATTGGAATTCAAATAGAGTCATTGAAAAAATTAGGAACCGCTGCATAAAATAAACACATACATTAATGCTATGAAAACCATCCTTATATTGAATTAACCAATATCAATTCAATTATGCAAATTCAAACTTTCCTGTGGGTAGAGGTTGTTATCACACATTGAATTTACAAAGACTTTAGTAATTTTAAATTCAAGTATTTTCCATACCCGTGGGCCTAGGAAATTTCTTGTTTCAATATTTAATAATTATTTTATTGCAATTAAATCCTTAAGACAGCTATTTCCCTGTGAGGCCAAATAATCATCATGTTATTTAACTGCACTTTATGAGATGTCCTATGTATTACCAAATAATTCTTTATGTGACTTATATTAATGACATAAAATTATAACTGAAAATGCTTTGGCTAATCTTAAGTTATAATAATATGTCGAAACCTTAGATGACATCTCTAGTCTAAAGATTTTCATGAGAGTTGTTGAATTTACTAAATTCTATCGCCGTGTTAAACATACAAATTTAAAACGGACACTTTAGATTCTAAAAGATAAACCATATTAAACAATTTTTATTTCATTAATAATTTTACCCTTTGGTAATTAGTTTGAATAACATATATTTAAACTTAAACTAATCAAAATAACAGGTAATCACCACATGCACATCATGTATTTTCTAGAAATAAATAAATCAGCCATGTTAACTCCAGTGTAAAAATAATTTCCTAGATGCATTTAAGTTTGCACATATTTAACGAAATCAATCTAGGTCCATAATTTTAGATAAATGCAGTCTTATAACAGAAAAAACCACTAATTCAAGTTGCACAATACTAGCCCAAAGTCAGCAAGTTTCTTCTGGCAAACAAGGCAGAATCATAGGTTTAATGATACGAGCAAAAAATTAATTTTGGTCAACAACTATGATGACAAGTTACGGCACTATATTTTATACGTAGTAAAAAAATGGAATATGATGACATTTAACTGCATGTGCAACGATTGTTATTACTGCAGTTCATTTGAATTTTACAAACCCATTAGCAAACTAACCATTTAATGGGGCAACACGACATTTGCATTTTCAGATAATTTCGTTAAATACGAATACTGCTATAAAATATAAAATTACCTCCATAAACTATTTGTACTCCAGCAAGTACTTGGATTGAGGCCAATTAAACCAAATTAAAACAATACGTATACATGTGCATATGGTCATGCATATTAATTCCAAAAACAGTGATTTTCATGCACAATTAAATCAAAGGAAAACTGAAGAACAACATATAAACATTGGTAATGCAATTTGTATTTCATAAAAAATCTGAATAACCAAGCATGAAAGTGGCTCTGATACCAAATGTAAGAAACTTAAGACATACCTCCAACTATGTTATTCAAGATTTAATTGAAAGTTCGCAGTGGAAACGGGTCTTTAAAGCACCAACGATCTTCTAACCAAAACCCACTTGATAATTCCCTTTCTTTTAATGGAATAAAACACAGGATTTTCTTTATGAGGAAAATACTGCAGGAATTTTTTGTACGGATTTGGCAAGGGACCCTTTGACATATATAT